CTTTCACCCTCCCTTCACTACTGTACCAAACCCAGCTCTTGCTGATCTCACGATTCTCACCAACCCGCACTCCTATTTCAACACTAATGAACACCAACTCTACTCCCATTCCCAAGACTCCCCACACCTCATGTCAGAGGTGTGGGCACTTCCTCTCCCCACAAGTCCCACCTCATCTTATAAGTCTTGGCCCCAATGGCTAAGGCCAACAGCTGGTGTCCCAGGCAGATCCCAAAGACAGGTCGGGGGTTCGGTTCAGATAAGACACGGCTCAGTGTGGATACCACGCTGGGATAGGAGGCGGGGTCGCCAGGGCCATTACTCAGAAAGAGACCCTCATACTCTGGAGTGGGCAGAAAAGATGATGTCAAAACCCGTGGTTCAACTAGAGAGAAACACCACTAGAGCAAAAGCCCTTATCTCCACCTTCCTCCCTGCAGCTCATGTTGACTTTCAGCAACTGGACCAAGGGCCAGATCTTCCACCCATGCTGTTTGTCTGTGACCTTGTACAGACCTAAGCTACTCACCCTGACTGTCTAATGCGTGGTCCCAGGGTACCACAGTGACCTCTGCCCCACGCTGGCACAAGCATCGGATCTGATTATACTTGAGGCCACAGTCCAAAGCAAGGATCCGAGGGGTACCCCCTGAATTGAATACCCGTGGGACCTGAGGAATAAAGGGTGATGGTTGACAGCTGTGATTAGTAGGTATAATATGCACACACCAATCCCTACCTTGGAGGCCTCTTCTGGTTCTCCTTCAAGTGTTCACCCCTCAGTATGGGCAGAATATAACTGTGATTAGTCTGGAATACTCTCCCACTCTACCTCTGTACCTTAATGGAGACCTCCGGCACCAGGGCGCGGGCATTGGGGTCCAAGAAGGGCAGGGTTGAAGGCTCCGTCCCATCCTGGACCAGCTTTCCCAGCAGAGACCCTTGCTCTCGCAACTTCTTAGTCAGCTCCCGAGTGTCCACTCCTGCCCAAACAGCAGACTCTGAGAGATCACTCCCTCAATGCAGTCACGCGTGACGTTAGACTTTCATGTCAGAGCCTGAGTCACACACTGTGACTGTTCCATGGGCATCAAACATCCCGGGCTGGAAGTACCCTACCATGAAGCACTCTTGCCCCCAAATATCACATATGAATTGAACCACCACTCCAGATCTGTTTACAGAAAATAATACCAAGGGACAAAAGAACACGCTAAATGACAATACAGGAATGTAATCAATAAAATGCACACTGTGGGGCACTCTAAAGGAAAATCAACTGTTTGTGTCAAATAGGTTACAAGGCCCAAAGAGTAAAGATTATCAACCAAATGCAATGTACAGACCTTGTGTAGACCCAGATTCAAATAAACAAAGTTTTTAAAAAATCAGAAAATTGGAGAAATTTTAAAAATGCCTTGTATATTTGATATTAAGGAATTACTGTTAATTTTTAAAAGGTTACGGTAATGTTACTGTGATCATGTTTTTACAAGGATTTTTTTTTCATAGCTATTGAACTCTCTGTGGATGAAATGATATTATGTCTGAGATTTGCTTCAAAATAATCTGGGAGTTGTAGTAGTGGTGATGAAATAAGTTTAGCCCTGAGTTGATGAAGCTGGGGATTCATTATCCTATTCTCTCCTTTTGCATGTTTGAAATTTTCCATCTGAGTGAGAGCTCAGTTCCTTCCCCCAGTTCCAGCCCCCAGTCTAAAGCTTTGGAATCAGGTACACTGTATCACAATCTTGGACTCAAGTCCCAAGAGTCCACAGAGTCCTTGATTCTTTCCATCTGGGTATCTGTGCTCCACTCAAGACACCCCTGTGCTTGCACCATACCTTGCAGGCCGGGTATGCCACGCTGTTGCAGCCACTCATGCAGGGTACAGGTGGCACTCCAGTGGCTGGGTGTGGGGCAGCACTCTCCTACCACCAGTCCTGCCACGTGGATCCCCGAGGATTCAAACCACTGTTGATGGGAGGAGGAGACTGTGAGGAGCCCGGGGCCACACACCTCCCTGCAGGGCCATGGACCCTGTACTCCAGCCACACTCAATGACCTGTCATTCCTTTAACATGCCAAGCACCTCATGCTTTTGCCTTCTATCAGCAATGCTGTCCCCCGCATGAAACACTGAACACATGGGCCTGGGGTGCCTGATTAGTAACTGAAATGACATTTTCCTTTTCCCTTCCTTTTCTTCTATCCCCTTTTCCATGAAGTCACCCCCATTCTCACCCACTGCAGCTTGTGTCTCCTCCTTAGAGCTCACCTAAGTTCACTCTGTTTCTACTTGACTTGCTATTTCCATTGTATTACAAATGTGTCCAGATGTCTTCATCAGCGAACTATGAACTCAAGAGCAAGGTACCTGACACATGATAGGAGTCAGCGTTTACTGAGGGCCCACCTGGTGCCAGGCACTATAACAAATGCTGGGGGAGGAGCTCGAGCATAAAAAAAGACAAGGTCATGTCTTCAGAATGTTAATTTGCTACCTAGGGAACCAGAAAATTAACAAAGTAACGTAGATAAAACAAGATCATAATCACAGGGTGTGATAAAAACATAGTGTAGAATAGGCAGGCAGGGGCACAATACCTTACTAAGTAAAAACAAAGCTTCAGGGTGCAATACTAGACATTATACCGCCACCCCACCCCCCACTTCGTAAGGGATTATCATTAAAAAAAAAGGTAATGTACGGCTTCCCTGGTGGCGCAGTAGTTAAGAAACCGCCTGCCAATGCAGGGACAAGGATTCGATCCCTGGTCCGGGAAGATCCCACGTGCTGCGGAGCAACTGAGCCCGTGAGCCACAACTACTGAAGCTCGAGCGCCTAGAGCCCGTGCTCCGCAACAAGAGAAGCCACCACAATGAGAAGCCTGTGCACCGCAATGAAGAGTAGCCCCCGCTCGCCGCAAGTAGAGAAAGCCTGCATGCAGCAATGAAGACCCAACACAGCCGAAAATAAAATAAATTAAAAAAAAAAATTGAAAGAAAAAAGGTAATGTAAATTTGCTACTCAATGTAAATTTGCTACTCAATAGATAAGCTTATAATAACTAAGTAGAGAAACAGATTGTTTATCTAGGAGAAAGTGGCATGTTTAAACTACATCTGCTTAATGGTGGAAGGTTTAAAGAAAGATGAATGGGATCTGAAGGCTAGTTTGGCAGAACCCTCCATGGCTAGGCGTCTGCACATGGACAAGTGCATTTATAGCATATGTGCTGCAGAAGCATCCGTGGTGGGCTGGTGGCTCCAGGAGGCCTTACTCACCTTGGTTCTGTCAGGGCCTCAATTTTGCAAGTGTATAAACTCAACTTTGACATGTATCTAGAGTTGACAAAGCTGAAGACTTAGGTCAATTAACCAAGATAGTGCATTATAAACTAGAATGCAGTGAATTTATACAGAATGCAGTGAATTTATGTGATGAGGAATGGTTCTTCCAGGAATACCAAGCACTTCTCTTTCCTAGAGTTTCCTTTTCCAAGTGTCAGTGTGACTGGGAAAACATGTTAAGAATTAAAGGCTCAGTAACCCTAGAATTAGGACAAAGTGAGTTTTGAGGAATACTGCACCAGAGGCTATGGCTGCTCTACAATTAACTTGTGTTGACTTTTTTTTATTATTATTACTTGAACTCTCAGAGGGCAACTTAGTTTCCAAATTCCAGATGAGGAGGAATAGGAGAAACCTCACTGAGAAGGAAACTGAGTTTCTTATCTACATACTGTAAGAACTCTACTGAAAAGCGGTAAAGAATGAGGCAAGGTAAGGAAAGCAGGTTTAGAATATGATAATCAACTTCATTGGTTTGGTAGGTGAACTGTGACCCACCATCACTGAGAAGGGTGTGACCCTAGTTTCCAGTCTCTTTCCCATTTATTTATGCACTCTTAAAGCACTGCTCCCATCACATCACTCGGCTGCTAAAAAATTTTCACTGGTCCCTTACTAGAGCCCAGACTCTTCGCCTTCGCCTCCGCCTCCAGCACTCTGTGCTTCTCAAGGTGTTACCTAACAAACCCTACAGAGTGCTTGTCTATCACTTTAGTGTGTACCTGCTTTCTCCAGAATGCCTAGCGGAATGTCAGTGTCTTCACTAACAGTTAACAATTACTGATTTGAAAAGGAATGTAGAGAAAGCATTGGATGTGGCTACCTTGCTGAGCCCGAACTCATCCACTTCATCTGGGGGAATGCCGTAGTTACCAATCAGAGGATATGTCAGCACTAAGATCTGTGCTTTGTAGGAAGGGTCAGTGAGGGCCTCGGGGTAGCCGACCATACCGGTTTGAAACACTGCAAGAAAGAGGCAGAGCTGGGGCTTAGGCAGGGTACTCTTCGGAGCACTGCCCCGAGCGAGGATAATGCCCCAGTGGAGAGGCTGCCCTGACCCTCAGGGATAAAAGGGGCCGGGCTGGGGAATGGCGGGGGAGGGGGTGTGCAGGCGGGAAAATGGCGGGGTCTGGGCAGGGCAGGCTGGGCAGAGAGGGGCAGCAGAGAGTGGGATGATGTCGGCAGCCAGCCCGGACTTGCTTACCCACTTCCCCGGCAGTCGACACAGCGGCCCCAAAGGGCTGGCCCCGCAGGACCAACCCGTCCTCCAACACCAGGGCCGCCATGGGAGCGGAGCTCAGAAGCCGGGGTGATTACAGAGAAGCGTGAAACGCAGCAAGCCCCAGCGGATGCTAGAACCACGTGAGGACGGCGCGCCCGGATTCGGTCCACGTGGCTAGCCGCGCCGGTGTCTGGATCTACGGCGGCGTGGACCGCGCAGGAGCCCAGGTGCTCTGGGCGGCGGCAAACTGCGGCGGCGCGGGCAGCTGGCGGCGTGGGGGGCGGGGCCATGAACGTGAGGGGCGGGGCCAGGGCAGCGACAGGGTTGGGTCACCTCCTCTACCCTGCGCGAAGCGATGGGGATACCTGAGAAAACCCGCTCTCCCAACGTAGCCTTTACCACGCCAACCAAGAGACGAAAAAGAAAAAAAGAAAAACTGTTTATTATGGTCAACAGCACAAATGGGAACCGGTACTAGTCCACTCCTGGACTGGGTCTACAACACCCAGGGTTGTGCAAACTTCCATCCTCCTTCCGACGGCGGCCTCTGCCTTGGGAGGGAGGATCTGCTGACCCATGATGTCTAGGAAGCAAATCTCCCGGCTGGACTAAGATGGGGATGATCTTTAGTCAGTTGGAAGTCCTATGTGGTTCATGAAGCCTTGGCTTTTCGACGCTGAGTCCCCCAAAGGAGGGTGGAGATGGATAATGTGGTGGATCCCAGAATACCAAAGAACATGAGCAGTGAGAAGGAGCCCTGTGAATAACAGACCAAAAAAACTTCACACAGGGTTACATCAAGGGCTTACAACCTAACACCCAGTTCTTTCCTAGCATACCTGTCCCCTCACCCAGGGCAATTCTCTTATAGTTTCCTTCTCTAGGTGATTTGCACCAGCTCCTGGTCTTATGGCTCTTCTTTCAGAGAGGTACTTACTCTATGCATTTCTCTTATCCCTAATTAGAAGACCTAATTCCTCACCTGGCGCATACACTTGTAGCCATGGAAGCCTTCAGCACAAACACATTGCAAGCGACCTGGACCATCAGGTGCACAAGATCCATTCTCAGGACACATTTCTGAGAGCCAGAGAAAAACAGAGAACATCACTGGATTTCATTAGGTATGTTTCCCAAATATCTCCTTCAACTTAGATTCTCTCAACTGTTTCTAGGTCAAAGGTAGAGAGGAAAGATTACAGATAATCAGAACGTTGTCATCATCATCATCATCATCAAATTATTTTAAAAATATTAACAAGAGGTTAAGACCTTTTCTCTCCCAGGGATTAAAGCTTCAGAAACCCAAACAAAAGGCACTTAAGCAACTTTACTGTCTTTCTGATCTAAATCGGAGAATACAAGGGAGGAAGGGCAGTTTCTGGAGGGGTGGAGGTGAGACAACATACCTGGGTCCCCAGTGCTGTTGCAAAGGTTCCTTTGTTCTTGGCAGGTTTGGTTGTTTATATAAAAACTGACAGTATCCCAAGCATTAATACCTCCAGGACAGTTGACATCTTGTGGCAGTATCCTGAACACAACACAAGCAGTCATAATATGCAGCCTGAAGTTGCTGAGTTCACAGCACTGCCTCTCTTTGGTTCTCTCCCACACCCCACACCCCTTACTCACAGAGTCTGGAGCTGGGTAAAGCCACGGAAGGTGTTGGCCAAGTCACCCTGGAGGGAGTTTGCCTGCAGGTCTCTGCAAAGCACACACTGTTAGCACTGTGCTCTAGGAAAACACCTTACTTCCATTCACACATGAATGTGTGTGACTGGTAATCCAGTGTGTTTCTGGACTGGTTATCCAGTTCTCATTCTGAGTTGTCCAAATGTAGACAATATTTAAACATCCTTTTAGGAGTCCATCCTCAAAGACTTTCCCATCAACCCTTTGCCATAATCACCTTTTGGGAAGGATAATTACGACTTACATGATGATAGCAGTATGTGCCTGAGGAAAGTATGGACCAGGGTCCTTCAGAGAGCAGTTCTGGAGATCCAGCCTGAGGAAATAGGTAATCAGCAAAACTGTGTGTCTCTCCCCTTCATCCAAGGTAAGCTAATACAACCCCCTTATCAGCTAATATTAATTGAACACAGCTGTGTCGGGGCCACAACCTAGGTACTCTGGTAGATGTTTTAATCCTGCATTGTCCAATTAAGTAACCACTAGCAACATGCAGCTACTTAATTTAAATTTAAAAAATTCAGTCTTTCATTTGCACTAGCCACATTTCAAGTGTTCAGTAACCACTAAGGTGGTTAGTGGCTACTGTATTGGAAGGTACTGATACAGAACATTTTCACTGTGGCAGAAAGTTCCACTGGACAGTACCGTTCTTATCAGTATATCTATGCATCTGTGCATATATTGAAAGAAATTTGTTTCTTGTCAGGATTAGTGAAACTCACTCACATTGTAATATTATGATTCTCAGATCCACAAAAGGCCATCATATGGGAAAAAAATTCAAGTCACATAAATGAAAGTTTTTTCCAAGTGCATTTTCTACCACAGATTGGATGAATGTAAACTACTGGATATTAAGGTCCATGCCACACTATTTTTTCTTCAGTATCTATTGCTGTCTGTTCCTTTATTCTACAAATATTTACTGAGTGCCTACTAACTGCAAAATTTCAGAGAATTAAAAATAACATTCAGTATCTTAGCTTGCAAGTGGCTTACAATGTAGTAGGGGAACAAGACCATCACCAAAAATAAAAACAATATAAACATTAAATTAAAATATGAACAGTATATAAAATTAATTTGAGTGGTACAGACACTAAGGATTAGAGGAAGTAAAAAATAAAAAGATATTACTCTGGTTTTTAGTAGTAGGGAACATTCACAAAAGATGTTGGAATTAAAGGACAGATATGTTTTAATTTGGTGGAGGAAGGCAATTTTAGGTAAAGAGAGAGGTTTGAACAAAGAAAGAAAGGTGGAATGCTTTTGGAGGTAGGAGAGTCTGGCTGCTGCCAGACCCTCATGAAGGGTTTGGGTGGACAAATTGAAAGTAATGCTGAAAAGGTGGGTTGGGCCAGTCTATGGTAGTTTCTGGTTTGAACTTTATCCTAGGGCAACAGAAAATTATAAGTCTAATTTTAAAGCCAGAGAGTAATAAGGGAAAAAAATTGGTTTTCAGAAAGTTTAATATAAAGAAGTATTTAGGCAGATGAGGGCAAGAGATGAATGGAAGCAAGAAATGTGACATTTTGAGTCTGAAGTGAGGGTGCTCTGTAAGAGGAAATGTTTAACAGGAATCTAGAGGTACCCACATGTATCTGGACCTTGGAGAGAGGTCAAAGGAAACTAAAAGAGATCTAGTTTTGGGAGACACCTGCATAATGGGTGAAGCCATAAGAGTTGGATTCTCAAGAGTGTAAGAGGAAAACAATGCAGAGACTAATCCGCATAAGGGGACAAGAAGAGAAATTTGCCTCAATGACAAACATGAATTAATGAGAAGGGGAAGAAAACCATATTCCATAGTGTCCTTCAGGCCAAAGGAGTCATTTCATGCAGACACACAGTAAATAAGCCAAAGAGTTGACAGTAAACAAAAGAAACAAGCTTAAAAAAATGCTAACAATGATGACTTTTATGCATTTCAACCAGGAAGAACCACAGGGTGTTTACTTAGCCAAAAATGCTATAACAGATTTAAAAGTCTGAGACTCATGGTTTAGATGCCTCCAAAACAGGCACGAATATTTATCTCAAAAGCCAATCAGGCAAGCCTTGAAGAATTTGGTTTGGTAACTCTTTTCCAGTAACCAGGGATGTCTTCTCCTCCCTCACCCCAGTATGGTGCCCTTCCAATTCAGGCAGCAGCGGGCGCGCAGCAATAGGTCTGACGTCTGCTTACAATAAAGAGCCACTTCTGACAAGTTTTGCACACTCCCTGGACACTGGATGCATATCTGCAGAAGAAAGAAAACTATTAGGACTCCAGAAAGAAAAGCCAAGAAAAAAACAAGGATCAAAAGTTAACTGCCAGTACACTCTCCAGAATTCCTCTAACACAGGGCATGGAAGTGTCCTACCTTTATGTCAGGTTTACTAGAAGACGCATTTCTTCCCCTTGGAACCAGGCGCCAAAACAGCGCACCAGAGAATTTCTGTACCAGATCTTGTCCAGGGAAGGACCTCATCTTTGAGAATTACTATTCGAACATATATATTATGCCCTCTCCGATGACTTCTCAATCTGCCAGCCCCGATTTGGCGGGTAGGACTGCAGGTACACAAAGAACTCATCAAGCATTACAGAAAGTACAGTCCTGCCAACGCACGATATACGGCATTCGTACGCTGTTAAGCTTGCAGAATAGCCAGAGGTCTCGTTTGTAGAAAGAACGACTTAAAGTTATTCAACGATTTTAAGGTGCAAGGAGGTCAAATTTAGAAGGTCTTTGGACGTCGGCAGGGCGAAGGCGCTGGGAGACAGCGGCCTGAGTACTCGGAGTGGGAGCTGGCTGGGCTATGTCTAGCGAGGCCCCAGGGACGAAATCGGGGCTGCGCGGAAGCAGAAGAGTGGGGAGAGCCGAGGGCCGGCAAGCAACTCTGTTTCAACCCAACCTTTAATTTGCTTCAGTACCTCGGGTAGCGCCAAAGCCCTTTCCACGCTCAGAACGAGGAGTAGGGCTGCAGCCCAGGGCACCACGCTCAAAGAACTGTCGAGCCCGCGAAGGGCCATTTTCCGCTCCCTCTGTCCTCGGCTGATCGCGAGACTTGCGCGTGTGGCCCCGCCTCCCACCGTGTCACGCCCTCGCCGGGGCGTGGCCTAGTCTGCCAGGCTAGTCCGCTGGGCCCGTCGGTCCGGGGAGGGCTAGGGGTCGCTGCTAGTCGTGAGGTCAGCGCCCTTCTCTATGTGCCCCGGTCCTCGTTCGGGAGGACTGACCACCCCCTTCTTCTTTTCCCCCTTAAGCGAAGGCCTCCCCGCCACTGCTCCCTCAGCCCCGTGTTCCTTGCACTAGGAGCCGGAGTCGCGTATTCGCAGCGGCTGGGGGTTAATCCATTTGCCCTCAGTAAACATGGCGGCGCGGCGACGTGGGCGCGCAGGGGGCGGGACCCCGCTGTCACCCGGTTTGGCGCTGCGGGGCCGGCTCTCAGGCGGCTGCCGGACCCACGTGTGGAGACCCGGCAGGTGGGCCGGACTGGGGCGGGCCGACAGGGGGTGAGCCGGAACACAGAGGCTCGGGAGAGTGGCGTCAGAGTGGGAAGGGACGAGTAGTGGAGGGGAGGAGCGGAGAGTTGAGGGGCGGAATGGGCCGGCCCCTAGAGTGGGGGCCCGGGAAGATCGGAGGTGCCGGCGACGAGGAGGTAGTAGTTCTGCCGCCTCGCGTGTGGAGAGAAGGAGAGAAGCCAGGAAATAAAGAGGGTAAGGGTGATGGAGGAGCGAAGGGCGAAGGGCAAACCCTGTCGGGAAGGGACGAGCCGGAGCACCCTATCTCCTTCAGCTCAGTCCTGAAACCACGCGGCGTCCTGTGTTCTGGCGAGGAGGTAGGGGCGGGATAGAAGCTAACTCCTCATTTCTTGGCCTTCGCAGAAAAAGGGAGCGATGCACATTTCGGGAAGAACCACGGGACCGTCTTAGCCTTGGCTGGGCCACGGAGGTAAGGGAAAGACGAGCGCTGTCCCGTGGTGGCCCGGCGCCCTGACCGAAGGGCGCCAAGCGAGCCCCGTGCCGGAAGGGACTGAGTGTTGGCTTTGGTTAGGGTTAGCAAAAGCTCATCAAAGCTAACCAAAGCGTTATAAAGCAGAAACTAACACACCATTGTAAAGCAATTATACCCCAATAAAGATGTTAAAAAAATAAATAAAAAAAAAAAGCTAACCAAAGCTCGTTTTCAGTAGCCTGGCTTCCCTTCCACCTACCCCCAGGTGTCTGGAATCTCCTGAAAGGATTTACCTTCAGAGGGCTGGCACATTTTCTAAGGCATTAGTAGTTACTAGCATTTTAATGAGGGCCCCTAAAGCCTTTCAGAGCTTGAGGAATTCCAGGCACAAAGACAGATTTTTTTTTTTTTTTTTAGTAATTTCCTTGGGAGCTATGCAGTCTTTTTTTTTAAATTAATTTATTTTATTTTATTTACTTTTGGCTGCATTGGGTCTTTGTTGCTGCGCGCGGGCTTTCTCTAGTTGCGGAGAGCAGGGGCCTCTCATTGCAGTGGCTTCTCTTATTGCGGAGCACGGGCTCTAGGCACACAGGCTTCACTAGTGGCGGCACGTGGGCTCAGTAGTTGTGGCTCGTGGGCTCTAGAGCACAGGCTCAGTAGTTGTGGTGCACGGGCTTCGTGGCTCCGTGGCATGTGGGATCTTACTGGCCTAGGGCTTGAACCCGCATCCCCTGCATTGGCAGGCGGATTCTTAACCACTGCACCGCCAGGGAAGTCCACAAAGACGGATTTTGAAGGTATCTTTTTGGGAAGGTTTATCCTTCAGTGGCACCTTTGCCTTTTGCAGGAGTCAAAGCAATTCACTTTGTGACCAAAGTGAGAGTGGAGTTAGGGTGGTGAAGGATGATTCTCTTTCTTGTGTGTGTGTATCTTGGACTTTTTAAAAAAGTCCCACAGCCCGCTGTTTGTGCCCTGTGTGTTAGAGTTTTAGTGAAACAAGTTATCTCTTACTTTTGGCTCCCCTCATATGCAAATCCATGGGGTTTAGATCAGTGTACAGTTGTTGCTGTTGTGGTTGTTTGGCCACGCCGCAAGGCACGTGGGATCTTAGTTCCCCCACCTGGGATCCAATCCATGCCCCCTGCAGTGGAAGCACAGAGTCTTACCACTGGACCGCCAGGGAAGTCCCCACTGTAGCAGTTTTAGAAGGCCACTATCCTGTTTTTAGAATCATGTCTAATGAAGCCTTTGTTACTGGGTCAGGTTTTTCCTGTCTTGCCTGGCTCTCTCTTCAGCCATCCAAGAGAGTTCTCTGCATCTCATGCAAATAGAATCCACAGGAACCCTGCCAGTTTACCCCAGCAGTAGAGGGTCTCCATTTCTGTACATCTGTTTTCCTGTCTATACTTGGACCTTTCTTCCTTTCTCCAACTGCCTGCCTAGCCGTATCATTAATGCTTTACCTCTGCACAGTGTTATGTGCACACAGCAGGCATCTTTTCTCCTCTTAGTCTCTGGTAGTTCCCGTCACCTCTTTCACAGTAATAAAAACTTGCCAAAGAGGAGTGAGAAAACTCAAGGTGTTGCAATGCACAAAGGCCCAGGGCCTCTTTAGGTTAAACCCAAGTGGCCTGTTGGGAACATTGTTCTGGGGACTAACATTTGTGACTCAGTAGAACATGTGTTTCAAGAGTTGCCAACTCTGATTTCCTCTCTTCATTGGCTCCAGGAGGTTCAGAGTTCAGGACTGGTTTGCATGAGGTCATATCTCGCTAGCCAGGCAACATCTGTCCAAGAACACAGTGTAGGAGAGCCGGAAGACAGCTAGGCTGATCATTCTCCTAGTGGGCAAGGACAAAAGACACAGTTTATGTTAATCTCTCTCTAGATTAGTTGAAATCTAATCTTTGCTTCAGGAGTGACTGAAAACAATTAACACTCTGCTCCAGCCCTGGTTCTGGGAGCAGTGAAGCAGGGGCTCCTGGTGAATTACCTGTCATACCTACTGACAGCATTGTTTTTTCTCCCTTGTTTTATATCATGCTGTATAACCCCAGGGAACTAGAGAGTGTTCATATAAAGTGCATAACCTGAGACATGTTGTTTTGAAAGTGATAGGTATGGTTACTTATTTATTATTGTTAACGTTTATAAAGTACATAACACACTGCTGGATTATATAACAGGTGTTCAAAAAATGTTAACTAACATCATATTAGGTTATCTAAATTCATGGACCTCAGTGTGTTTGTTGGTAAATGAGGGGGTTGTAATAGTGATCTCTTAAGATTCCTTTAAGTTTTGACATACTGTGATCTGGTCCTTGTTCTGAGGATAATGTAGGTATATTCTTTGAGGATTAGTATTCCTTGTGCAGGAGTTAGAAAAGCAACTTTCCCATCTCTCAGCAACTCTTTTCTAGTTCCCCCTTGCACACAGTGCCAAGTGTGACTTACAGTGAAAGCCTAATCCATCTAAGAATGCTACTGAATGTGAGCTCCCTGCTCCCCATTCTGGAGCCTCTAGGGCCGAGCTGGAGTTTGGGGGCTGTAGGGTGATAGGGCCTTTTGGTCCACAGCGATTGGTTCCCTGAAGGGTCCAGAACAAATAGCTGCTGAGCTTCCCTCTACTCCCAGTTCCTCATCTCACCTCAGCCACTTATGGACCAGATCCTCAGCCTCTGCCCAGCTCCAGACACACAGCTTCTCCAGGCAGCTTTGATTCAGAACAGGGATTGCTTCTTGAGGTAGGTGTCTGCGCCCGTGGGATAGGACCACTTTCCCTGACTGTTTCTCTTGCCCGCAGCTCCCTGGCTGGTTTGCTTGTTTCCAAAGTGCCCCTGTAATTGTAACTCTGAACCCCTGGCTCCAGCATGTTGCCGTCTCACTTTTGAATGGCACCACTCTTCCTGGATCTCCTGACTGTGGTGTCATTGGTGGAGGAGCTGAGAGGTGGGTGGCCAGCCTTATTTAGTAGTGTTGGGAGGACAGAGTGGTTGGCCTGGGTTTGCCTGAAATGGAATTTGGCGCTGCCGTGGAGGTGGCCTCCCTGGTGATCAATGTTGAGAAGGGCTGCTGTTCGGACGGTGACACTGAGGGTCACTGGGGTGCGGGTACTGAGGCTGGGAGAGTGGAGGAGGCCATGCTGTCATTCGTCTCTGTTTCTTCCTCCCGTCTGGCTTGTGGCGCCAGGCTGGGCTCTGCTGGCTTAGTACATTGTAGTGACTGGGTCTGTGCCTGCAGGTGGGGGCAGGGAATTCTGAGAAGAACCATGGGCTAGAGTTGATTTTTCTTTCACTGCTAGGGTGGAGACCTAAGAAGGTTCTTAAGTTTCACAGCTGTGCACACCCAAAAAGGACTTGGCCAAGTAGCTGTCTCCTGGCCATCTCAGTCTGCTGCTTCCTCCCTCCCCTCTCTGCCCTACCAAACCCATATCAGTACCTCCATACCTTCAAGGGCTGCCACGGAGCTGGCTGGCCCAAATCTGATGGGTGTGGGATGCACAGGCCCAAGGGTGGGTGGCCATGAAGGCAGGATAGGCCTGACTAAGAGGCGATTTCTTTGCAGCTCACCCGGACAGTGTCACTTGGTGGTAGAGGAGGACGGTGAGACGGTGGCTGGGAGTCAGACTGTAGCCACTTGCCTGCCACTGCCCAGCCAAGGGGCAGCCCAGAGCCCAGGAGCAGCAAGTGGCTGCAGGTCACAGACACAGAGAGGGTATGAGTGTGGCGGTGAGCACCTCCGCTCCCCTCCCCCCAGCCTCAGACACCAACATGGTCACATCCACCTTCTCCCTGGTGGACTATGTGGTCTTTGTCCTGGTGCTGGTCCTCTCCCTTGCCATTGGGCTCTACCATGCCTATCGTGGCTGGGGGCGACATACCATCGGCCAGCTGCTGTTGGCAGACCGCAAAATGGGCTGCTTTCCTGTGGCGCTGTCCTTGCTGGCCACCTTCCAGTCAGCCGTGGCCATCCTGGGTGTGCCGTCCGAGATCTACCGATTTGGGACCCAGTATTGGTTCCTGGGTTGCTCCTATTTCCTGGGGCTGCTGATCCCAGCACATGTCTTCATCCCAATCTTCTACCGCCTGCATCTCACCAGTGCCTACGAGGTAGGTAGGGAGGAGCACGTAGGGCCCCCAGGGTCAGGGCTGGAGAGGAGGAACAGGGCATCTAGGGATCTGGGCCCCTGGATCTCCTTTGCCTGATGAGAGTGACAGGGAATGCACGGTGTGTTTATAAGTTCTCCCTGGTTGAGGTTGGGCGGGGTGGGAGTTGGGGGAGAAGAAGGTGCTGTGCTGAGTGGGGCCCGGAGTGGATACGAGTTGGATATTTCCTCTGCTCCTAGGCTTCTTGAGGGAAGTTGTGTGGGAGTTGTTGGGGGTGGAGTGGAGAGAAATACCTTTTTAAAAAAAAAAAAAATCTGCTCCTACCTAGTACCTGGAGCTCCGGTTCAATAAAGCTGTGCGGGTTTGTGGGACCGTGACCTTCATCTTTCAGATGGTAAGTGGGATGAGGATAGAAATTGAGCCTGATGCATGGTAGGGGGAATTGGACTTAGGCTTTGCTGAGGCAGCTGGAGCCTTCCTTGCTCTCAGACTAGCAAGATTGAAACTCCTGCGAGCCCCCAGAGGCATCCTGCTTCCCATTCCTTCCAGTTCCGGCACAGGTACTATGGTGGCAGAAAGCCAAACTTTGGAAGAAGGGAGAGGGAGGTGAGCCTAGGTGAAGGGAGGCCATTGGGATATTGGAGCTGAGGTCCATCTTTCCTCCTCTCTCTGCCCGCCCTCATCTCCTCTTCCCCTCACATTCTCTTTTCCATACCCGACAGGTAATCTACATGGGGGTCGTCCTCTATGCACCATCGTTGGCCCTCAATGCAGGTGAGGAGTCACAGCCCCTGACTCCCAGGCACAGCAGGCTGGGAAGAACCTTTGGGAGGGGCAGGTAGAGGAGACTGTGCAGAAAAGAATCCAACCTTGACCAGGGTATTATTTCACTGCCTGGGCCCTTGGCTGGTCTCTACTAGAGGTGGAAAGCTAATCAAACATTACCAGGTCCCATCTGAGTTGGTTAATCAACACCTTTTGGTGGAGCTTTGCAAACTTTTCTTTTCCTTTGTGGTAAATGATTCATAGCATCCTTAATGACTAAATGCTTCATATCTTACCAAGGCTTCTCTGGCTTCTCTGCTGGGAAACCCTCCTCGGGAGACAGGAATGTGACTTTTATCTGTTTACAGTGACTGGCTTTGATCTCTGGCTGTCAGTGCTGACCCTAGGCGTTGTCTGCGCCGTCTACACTGCTCTGGTGAGCGCAGTCAGTCTTGGGGGAGGGAGGAGAAGAGGTGAAATTGGGAGGGAGGTGGGAGCGGAAGGTGGGTGGTAGAGGAGATAAGAACATGGGTGAGGAGAGGGCATGGCCTTCTAGGGTGCTGTGAAATGGGATGGGCCTATGGTGGGGGGTGGGGGGTGGAGGTGGGGGTGGGCCGGGAGTGACGTCAGCAGGATCTCAGCAGCTGTACACCGCTGGCGGCCGTCTGGTGCCCTCGCTGGTGATATGGCTTCGTAGACATCTGTGGCAGGTGTGCTGTCTTTTCCCTGCAGGGTGGACTGAAGGCAGTCATCTGGACAGATGTGTTCCAGACCCTGGTTATGTTCCTAGGGCAGCTGGTGGTTATCATTGTGGGGTCGGCCAAGGTGGGCGGTTTGGGGCATGTGTGGGATGTGGCTTCCCAGCATGGCCTTATCTCTGGAATCGAGTAAGTACACCCCTGCCCCGGCTGGGGTCTGTAGTGCCTGACAGCTGAGCCCATCTAGAGCCTGCGCTTAAGGCTGTAGTAAGCAGAGGGCAAGCTATGGAAGTTGAAGTGCAGCACTGAGGCCAGTGGGAAGCTGGCACTGTGGAGATGGAGGGTGAGCACAGTGGTCTGGCCGGTGGTTGAGTGTCAGGATGTTTTTAGCACCTGGGATGAGGCTATGGTTGGAGGGATGGAGCCACCCCCTCCCCACCCAACCTGCTGCCCTGTCTTGAGTCCAGCTTCGCCCCGGCAGCCATCTCTCTGCCCTGCCCCCTGTTGTAGGAGGGCGGGGAAGGCTGAGTCTCTGGGGCAACAGTGACACGTTGGTGTCTCTGGCAGGCTGGATCCGGACCCTTTTGTGCGGCACACTTTCTGGACGCTGGCCTTCGGGGGTGTCTTCATGATGCTCTCCTTGTATGGAGTGAACCAGGCTCAGGTGCAGCGCTACCTCAGTTCCCGCACGGAGAAGGCTGCGGTGCTGTGAGTGCAGGGCCAGGAAGACCGGGGAGCACAGGCTGGGGGAAGAGTGGGCCCTGGCTCCCCTGAGGCAGTTGGGTTGGGACAGGATGCCGGAGCGCACGTGCACCCATTGGGCAGGACGTGGAGTTGCTTTCTGGGGCTTGGGGACGTGCCTGCTAGCACCGTCTCCCTGCTTGGCACTGGCCTCTTTTGCAGCTCCTGCTACGCCGTCTTCCCTTGCCAGCAGGTGGTCCTCTGCATGGGCTGCCTCATTGGCCTGGTCATGTTCGCCTACTACCAGGAGTATCCCATGAGCACCCAGCAGACTCAAGCAGCCCCTGACCAGGTGAGAAGGCCTCCCTGACCCCCCTCCTGGGCCCCCCCCAAGGGGAGTGTCTGGGTGGCTGCAGGAGGGACTCCTACCCTGTGTGGGAAATGGATGGAAAGTCCTTCTTGTTCTTGAAATCTGCAATCCAGCATGTGAGGATCCCAGCCCCCAGCTAATCACAGTGCCCACCCTACTGAGGTGGGGACTTACCTTCACTGACTCACCGCTCTGCACCACCTGCTCTGTGGGGAGCCGTCACACGCCTGGTCTCATCTAACCCTCCCGAGAGCATCATTTTACAGAGGAGAAAAGGACGCACACGGGGTGGCCAGCATGCTCAAGTCACACCACTCGCTGAGGCAGAGCTGGGATGTGGGCTGCGTCCTTCTCTCTCCAGAGCCTGCTTTCTCTCCACTTACTGTGGGGTTGCCCGCAGTGCCTGGCCCCCTTCCTAAAGCACGCAGTCTCCAGACGCTGCCTGACATATGCAGGGGAAGGGCGGCGTGCCCTGGGGATGGGCTTCTCTGAGGAGAGCTGTGCACTTCTGCTCCGCCTGCAGTTCGTCCTGTACTTTGTGATGGATCTCCTGAGAGGCCTGCCAGGCCTGCCTGGGCTCTTTGTTGCCTGCCTCTTCAGTGGCTCCCTAAGGTACGCTCTTTGACCTTTTCCATCAGGCTTAACACAGCTGACCCCTCCTTGGTACAAGGTGATGGGTGGAGTGGGGGTCCCTCTGAGTCTCTCATTGTGTTCGTTCATGTGTGAATGACAAGGGGCAGCTCATCTGTGTGGGACAGAGTGTATCCTCTCCTGGGACAGTTCCCTTTTTGGTGAAGGATTCTTCTTCTTTTATGATACCAGGAATTGATCTACTCGAACCAAACCTGTACCCCACTCAGAGAAGGCCAGGTGTCCCTGCCTCCCAGGCCTCTTCCTCTTCTGCCAACTGTCAGGATGGTGTTTGGGCTGCACACGTCCTCTCCTGCCTTCAGGGTGCTGGTCCCTCAGTGGGGTCCCTTGTTTTGCGTTTCTCAGCTTCTGGACTTGTTTTCTTCTTTCAGCACCATATCCTCTGCTTTTAATTCACTGGCAACTGTTACAATGGAAGACTTGATTCGACCCTGGTTCCCTCATTTCTCTGAAGTCCGGGCCACCATGCTTTCCAGAATCGTCGGTGGGATTATGCTTCCTTATCTCTTCAGCCTTGTTCTTTCTAAGGCACACCCTAAGAACTGTTGTCCATGTGCTTTGAAGCACCAGTTTTAGCCTGGGCTCAGCACTTGCCCAATGAAGCACCAAACTTGTTTACATGTCAGGGAATTTCCTGGGGAGGCCTCTGAGTCACATAAGAGTGAGGACGGGGTGGGAGAGACCTGGAGGTGGGGCTGAGGTAATATGCCCTGTTTCCAGGGACACAGAGGTAGTAGTTTGGCTGGGGAAGGAGCTTTGCTCTGCTTTTCCCGCTTTTATTGTGTTAACTCACATCTGCTTGTTTCCTCCTTTCTTTTTCCCCAGCCTTTGGCTATGGGCTACTTTGTCTGGGAATGGCCTATATTTCCTCCCAGATGGGACCTGTGCTGCAGGTAATGACTGTGGAGGGAAGAAAGCAATTTTTAAGGGAGAAAAGGAGCTGATTGAAACCAGAAATTGAAGAAGACAGCCATTGTGAAAGGAATGACATAGGAGCAGGTGTCAGAGATTCCCCTTTGATGAGCTACCTTTAGCTGTGAACAGATTCTCAAGTAGCCAAAAGCCCCAGGGTCATTGTTGGCTGAGAGATATCTAAGGATCGGCCTCAGGAGAACCCCGAGCACATTCCCTTAACCATTTCTGCCCTCTGGAATCCTGCATTCTGATGATTCCAGGTAGAACAGACGGACAGATCTGACAGGTGGGGCTCTGAGGCAGTGGTGGTAGCGGTGCCACGCTGGTGAGACTGGGGATCTCTGAGCCTGAGTGTTCTGTTCTTGCTCTCAACCCTGTCCTTCACAGGCAGCAATCAGCATCTTTGGTATGGTTGGGGGCCCGCTGCTCGGACTCTTCTGCCTTGGGATGTTCTTTCCTTGTGCCAATCCTCCTGTGAGTGACCCATCTGGCTCCACGGTCATGTGTGGGGGTGGACCTGGGGAACGACTTGGCAGGGCTCTCGCTGTGACTGCTGGGAACTTACGTGAAGGTTTGGTGGGGCTGGCATTGAGACGAGAGTGTGCCGTGTCTCTGGGCAGGGTGCCATCGTGGGCCTGTTGGCTGGACTGATCATGGCCTTCTGGATCGGCATTGGGAGCATAGTGACCAGCATGGGCTCTGGCAGAGCACCCACTCCCTCTAATGGGTCCAGCTTTTCCCTGCCCAGCAATCTGACTGCTGTCACCATGGCCACACTGATGCCCTTGACTACTATCTCCAAGTGAGTCAGAGCTCACTCTCTTTCTCCTTGCGGAGAACAGCTCATTTCTGAGGGGTTTTCCAGGGGCCTTGCTAAGGGATGGCCACCAGAGGACTTGGGCCAGCTGTCGGGTGTTGGGTCCCAGGATTCTAGGACCATGTAGGAGGGTGGAGCCAGGTGCCTGAGGAATGCCTGTCACTGAATTGCTAATTGTCCTCACCCTCTGCTCTCCCCAGACCCACAGGGCTACAGCGGCTCTATTCCCTGTCGTATTTATGGTACAGCGCTCACAACTCCACCACGGTCATTGTGGTGGGCCTGGCTGTCAGTCTGCTCAGTGGTGAGGGGCTGTGGCATGGGGGCACAGGGAAACAAGGACCAGCTGAGGGAGGGCGCTCAGGGGTCTGGAGTCTGGAGCTCAGGGAATCCTGGGCTCCTGGGAGCCTGGAACAGTCACGCTTCTTGGTGGAGCTCGAGGAGGCGGGCGGGGACTGGGGGTTTAGAGTCCTGAGAGCAGGGGGAGAGCAGGGGGCCGCGGGTGTGCTCTGGTTACACAGTAGGAGTCTCAGGAGCACTTTGTCTTCAGGCGGAATGCGGGGCCGGACCCTGAACCCTCGGACCATTTACCCAGTGTTGCAGAAACTCGTTGCCCTCCTGCCCATGTCCTGTCAGAAGCGACTTCACTGCAAAACCCACAGCCAGGTAGCACGTCTGTTGTCAGATCGCCCCTCCCTTCCCTATCAGGCTACTGCCGGGCCTCCTGGGTTCCTGTGCCTCCCTTTTCTTTCTCCTCCCAGCCCCCCTTTCTCTGATGATGGCCTGAGCTGGACTGTCCCGCAGCAGCTGCCTGACTCCTTCCCACAGGGGAGCGGGGGCTTGGTGGGCAGAAGGGTCTCGGCCCCGAGAGGCCGCAGCTGCTGGCCTTTTGTCTCCGTCCTCCCAGCCCCGTGCTCATCCCTGGGCATGCTTCTCGTTGGTCTCCTTTCTAGCCAGGATCAAAGCAGGGTCACCTTTCCTGCGAGAGAAAGGGGAGGTTCCTTCACCTCCCCTTTGCCTCACGTTCACCCCACCCACTCCCTTTGCTCTGTGTTCCCCAGGATCTCTCTGTGGACACGGCTGTGTTTCCGGAGAAGGTGAGCAATGGGATGCTGAGGGGCAGCAGAGACAAGGAGGCCGTGGATGTGCCTGAGGAAGGCCCAGCCCACCAGGGGATCAGCCCCACCTTCATCGTTCAGGAGACCTCACTGTGATCTGGACTTGGGACCCAGCCCCAGAGACCACCCTGTGGCACAGGAATGAGTTCCTTGGTGATCCTCAGGGGTGATCAAGGACTGATGACCTCACCCACACCAAAGGATCTTGTTCTTGGGAGTTTGTGCTGCAGTAGAAGCTGTCATGTCACGGGAGGTGTGAGAGTAGGACAGGGTTTTTCCTTGTTCCTTGCCAGTCTGTCCTCTAGAGTACCAGGCTTGCAGAGGGTAGGATTTTGCCAGAGAAAGGGATAGAGGCGAATCCTCTGGCAAAAGGATAATGGCTTCTGATTCCGCATCATCAGGCTCCTTTGAAGTGAATAGAAATAGCAGTGCTGGACCCACTTTGTCAAGATTGACCATCTCCCCGTAAAACTCAGTTGCCTTCGCCAGCTGTTGCTTCCCTCGCAGTCCCCTCGGAGCACACGTTCTGTCAGCCACAAAGGGCCCCCGTGGCACTACTTTCAGGTTGTCTGTGATACCCAGGCCCCTCTCATTATCTGTCTACCTCCATTCTTGAGAGGGAGGTTTTGGTGTCCCTGAGAGGCGTCTCGGAGCATACAGGTATATTCATCTCCCTCGTGTAGAGTAGGGAAGCTTTCCCTTTCCCTCACTGCCTCACCCTCCACCTCTGTAATGGGTACTTGGGGACGGGGAAAATGTTAATTTAAGAAACTAGGGCATGACCAAGTCCACTGTGGAGCGTGTCATCCGTCTGACTCCTGAGCCACGCCACCCTAGTGGCATTTGGTTATTCATGCTGTTTCCTTTTGGAGTTTCTTCCCCACATATCTATGTTCCTAGGGAGTAAAAACTGCTATTGGGCTAGAATTTGGGCTCCTGTACTGTCTGCACCTGCTCTTGTCCACCTTAGTGCTATCCCTGGCAAAGATAAAGAGCCACTCTTCCCATGCACAGGTCTTCCTCTGCTGAGGAGAGAGGCACAGGGGACCAGTGATGGCTTGGTGAGGTTTCTGGTCTCTGTGGCTGATGTGTCTACAGACAGTAGCATTGTGCTTATGGGGTGGAAGATGCACACTTTCCCTCTGCTGCTTCTCTTCCCCTGTGACTCAGTCTGTTCCCTGTCCCACCCACCACGTCCTTGACCAGTACAGTCACTGCTGCTCTGAGAATTTTCACCTTGGGACAGGAGGAAGAATGCTGCTATTTGGCTTTTAAAAATAGAACATTCGAGGTGGATTTTAATGGTCTTGTGAAGAACACTTTGCTCATGCCCACCCACACCTGGTCTCTAGCTCTGCTTGGCCCCGTCCAACTGCCCAGAAGCAGCTCTGGGCAAGCTCTCCAGGCCCCTCAGCAGAGACTTAGTCCCACACACATCCATGGCCAGTCCCAGAAAATGCCAGGTTGACTCTGCCCTGAGGTCTGCCCTCCTCTTGACAGCCCCCCACCTTGGGGCTGAGGGCCACTGCTCAGCCCACGTCCCCACTCCAGCCAGCTGCCAGAGTTGTAGACCTAGCCGGGCTCTCATTTATTCATTCTTCAACATATTTATCCATCACCCACTTCATTCAAGGGCCTTACCTTGGCTGCCATCTTAGAGCTAAGGAAATGACTGTGCCACCCAGGGACTCTGCACCAGGTGCCACCGTTGGCCTTTGAGTTGCCCCTTTTTGTCTCAAATTCCTGCATTTTGGCTATATTTACATAGAAAAAGGGGAGACCGTACAGGACTCAGAACTTGCAAGAATTATATTTAAGGGGAATGGTAAAAAAATTTCATTCTCCATATAATTCAAACTCTGTAACAGAACATAGATGTTCCTTTGTCTCTAACGCAGTAACTTTTATCTTCATGCAGCGTTTTAAAAGTACCATTTAATGATTGAGGCTGGAGTCCAATGGACAGACCTGGGTTCAAATACTGACTTCAGTCACTTCATCTATTAGGTGTGAATGTCACAGTTAAAGATTCAAAATTATATTGTGTGTAAAGGACTGATACATTCCTTAAATGCCAATTATTGTGATAATTATTGTAGTTTTCAAAGCACTTTTCATGTGCTACCTAATTGTATACTTTGGGAGAGAAGTACGTTCCATATCATCTGCATATTTAATGTGTAAGGTAACTGGATTGCTTTCCTAGTGAAGGGTTGACGCAGAGCTAGAACCCGGGTCTGTGACTCCCATTAGCCCACCAAAGTCACATCTCTTGCCTGGAAGCAGTGTCCTTTTTGATAGGGTGCTCACACAGGTGACAGGGTCTCTCCTGAGATAGCAGGCCAGAGAACAACGATGTACTAAATGGGGTGCTACGGTACCATCGTTCTAGAATCTTTCTAGGTCAGTGGCCTTCAAACCTTTCTTGAGACCCACGGTAAGAATGTATTTCACAACATGACCCAGTACACTGATATATTGTGTTGTGTTACTAAAACATTTCATGAAAAAGTGTCTCTGGGTATAGCTAATATTTCTGGAGCTCTCCTTTTCCCTTCCCTCCTTGAATAATTCAGTCCTTAAGCCATTATGTGGAGCAGAGCAAGGTAGGCATTCACGCTTGGGGCTGGGTGTCGGAGCACAAGTGAAAGGGAGGCCATGCACAGGAGTGGCGCAGCTTGAATGCCAGAGCCCAAGCTGGATGAGGAGAGTGTCCATGGGGGTCAGGAGCCTGGTGTGGGGTTGGATAAAGAGAAAGGAGCCCTCACAGGAAAGAAGACGTGCGGGTTGTCAGCTGGAGTGAGTGAGGTGGGAGCCTAAGGGGGGGGGCAGCTTGACGTGGGGTGTCAGCATGAGGAGTGCATCCACAAGGTAGGTGGCTCAGCATGGTTTGTCGGAGCCAGTGTGTGTGTGTGAAGAAGGCGGGACTTGCTTGGCAGTCCAGAGGTTTAGATTCCGCGCTTCCAAAGCAGGGGATGCGGGTTCGATCCCTGGTCGGGGAACTAAGATCCTACGTGCTGCACGGCCAAAAAAAAAGAATGAAGAAGGCATCTACACGTGCGAGCAACACATGCAAGCAGCTCAACCTGGGCGACTGCAGTGAGGAGGGCATCTATCCAGGAGGAAGATCTGTCATCAGGTGGGAGTCCAAGTAGGGTGAGGGGGTCACCTGCCATAGAGGCAGCCAGTGGTGGGGAGATGAAGACGTCCACACAGGGGCCAGCCCATTACAATCTTAGAGCCTGAGTAGGATGAGGAGGGCATGTATGCGAGAGATTGTTGGGGCTTTGACTACGTGCTGAGAGATTAATCAAATAAGTATATTAATAACCTGAGCCATATTTCTCACTAGTGGAGAAGGGTGTTACATGCATGGAAAGGGAGAAAGCAAGAATGAACTCTGTGGTGGTGGATCGGAGAAAGGGATATTGGCATGTGTTCATGGTTTTCAACAGATCTATGTAAATATAGAAATAAACGGAAGTAGCTCTGTGCGCCGAGGGTTTGGGAGCAGAAGTGTGATGGCAATAAGTGTTTTGTGCCTGGATCTTGGATTCTAAATACCACTTTCCACTACAACAACAACAACAACAAAAACCCAAGGCTTTCTGGAGAAACAGTTGATTCTAGGGCTGGGACCAAAGTACAAGATAGGCCTGGAACATCTTGTACCAGAGAGCAAAGAACTTATCAAGGAAAGATAAGATCATATCAAAGGACACAGAAGTTAGCTTGAAGGGACTCTCACTAGCCAAATCTGGAACATTCTGAGCATTAAAATAATAGTAACGGATTATAAGCTATTGAATGAAAAAAGGGAATCATGAATTCATACTGATAAAAGTAGTAAGTTGGAAATTAGATAAGATATGGTATATTTATATAGTTTCAAATATTTCTCTCTGCACAAAATACTTAATTACAAGGGAAAAAGAACTGTAGTGGAGAAGCCTGGCAGAAACCATCTTAAGTGATCAAAATAAACATCATCTGTAATGGGATAAATCAGTCATGCATCACCTGATAAGATGCAAAGGGAAGAACATGTAATCACTTCTGTGATTCTCTTGTCAGAAATGTATAACCTGAATCTAATCATAAGAAAACATCAGACAATAAAATTGAGAGACATTCTATAAAATAACTGGCTTGTAATTATTGGGACCATAGCTGAAAATTAAATAGGATCTGAGTATTAGATGGAAGTAACATTAACTTCCTGACTTTGATGCGTCTGTTGTGGTTATGTAGGATAATGTTCTTGTTAGTAGGAAATACACAATTTCATGTATGATCTACTGATGTGTTGCAATCCGCTAAAAACACTGTAGTGCTCGGCTTCCTTCCCAGCTTTCAGACAGGGAATGGGTTTCTTTCCCACTTCCCACCACCAATGGTCCCAGAATTCCAAGGCCTCCATGCATTTTCTATTTTCCTAAAGTGGTCATGTCCTCTGAGAAGCCATTTCTGGCTGTTCCCCTTCCTGTGAGAAGCAAAAGGGCTATCACCCTCCAGTCCCAACAGCCAGCCTTAGCTCCCCGTCATCTGACAAAGCAGAAAACAGATGACTTCATGGCAGGGCTGGTGGTGGGTGGTTGGGGTCTTCGGTTCATTTAACCATTTTTGCCAGTTAGAGAATAATCCTTCCAACCATTCCTGTGTGTTCACTAAGCCATTGGCAGAGGTTCTAGCTCCCGAGCAATAAACTCTTTGGGTTTGTCTGAGAAACATGTTTACCAACCCAGAATTTTACACTTAATCAAAACGTAATACAAATGGAGCATGAAATAAAGACATTTTCAGATATACAAGGGAACATAAAGTCAACAGACGTCAACTATTAGAGAGAATGATGACCGAATTAACCAATAACATTTATTGTTACATCTAAATAAGCAGGGGTTATTTTTCAAACAATTAATATGATCTGGAACTAAAATCCAAGAGCTAAGATTCTCTAAGCTAATTGAACTAAGATTCTCTTTTCTGTTTTTTAGAGAACAGGATGTAGACCAACACTGGATAATAGAAAAATTAAAGTATGAGTTATACATTTAAAGATAACTAATAAAATAAAAGAAATATGATATATCACT